TTTTTTTTTTTTTTTTTTTTTTTTTTTTTACTTATTTTGCAGTTTTGTTAGGCCCAGGATTGAAAGCATCAGTGAGCAAAGCCGCCTGTTTTATTACCAATACAACTGAGGCATCAGCTGAGCAGTACGTGCCCATCAAACCACCCCCTGTCAACGTGCATCAGCCATGACCCAGGATAAGTCTCCCAGGAGTAAGGTGGAGCTGTTCTTCATGGCCCTTCTATCCCTCAGGTTTTTTGCTGAGACTGTCAACAAAAGGACCAGTTGTATTCATAAACAACAGTCAAACAAACACACTTAGACACTTGTCCTTTGGCTAAAGGATTTATAATCAAACCATTTCATACTGTGTACCGAACAACCTACTCCAATGTTTCTGGTCACTGACAGGCTAGGCTGGATTTGAAAAGGCAGCCTAAAAGTGAAAAGCTACAAAATTTAGAACTATTCAAAAACATTCCAACAGCCATGCGGTTCTTCCAAAAAAAAATTTGCCCAAAGTGAAATCGTTTCACAGAAGCATGAAGATTTTGACAAATCCTTTAAAGGAAACCAGGTATATTTCCAACAAAAATGCCAGAAGCCTCTCTATGGGAGGGTTCCAATCCACAGCTTTCTTGGCTCCTAACTTCTGCTTCAAGGCTTGCCAAGTGGGCTGCTATGGAGCTCCACACCCCTGAGATCCCTCACAGCAACAAGATAGGCTGTTGTGGAGAGGAGGCGGCACCAAATCTAAACACCATTTTATTCCTTGAAAAGGACAGGAAAAGAAAAGAAAAAGCAATTGTCAAGGTTTTTTATTTGCATTTCAATTCAAGACAAAAAATGGTTTCCAACTAGAGGTGCACAGATACATTGGTCTGATATCGAATCAGTACTGGTATAAAGAAAATTGACTGCATCAGAAAATGGCCTTTTTTTTGCCTGATGCGGCTGATAATTTGGCCAATAGATGCCCCATGCACGTGCGCAGCCACAATGCAGCACGTAGGAGGCAAGGACCACAGCCCGGCAGCATGGAGAGCGGCATCCAGCTGGTAAGTCTGTTGTGATGGATGGGGTAGGGGGAAGGAAGGGGCATGGGGGGGCACATCAAGGCTCCTGAGGTGGGGGATGGAGTGGCACTGGGGAGCTAGGGCAGGGGCTGCCCAGCTGGGCTGGGGTGGGGCGGGGCATGGGATGGAGCCACGGCTAATTGCAGGTGGGCAGTTCCCACCGCTGGGCGCACCCTGGGATGGCGTGTGCCCGAGATTTGTGTGGGGTGGGCGGGCTGCAGCTGTGGGCTAGAACCGGGCTCTTCTTGGTGGGGGTGCTGGGAGGGGGGCTATGAAGGGGGCTGCAGCCACCCCAAAATTTTGCTGTAGGCCCCTCCACCCGTAGCACTGCTCCCAGTGCCGTTGCTGCCTGCCTGGCACAGCCCTGGTTTAACCCCCTGCTTCCACCCATCCGCCAGAAAGAGCCGGGGCTTTGCTGGGCGGGCAGTGCTAGGAGTGGTGCTACGAGGGGGCTATGGCAAAATCTGGGGTGGCAGCAGCCCCCTCTGTAGCCCCTCTCCCAGTGCTTCTGCTGAGAAGAGCCTGGCACAGCCCCAGCACCAGCTTACCCACCCCACACAGATCTGGGGCACATGAACCCCCACCCCCCAAGGTGCGTGGAATGGCAGAAGCTGCCCCAGCCCGCCCCCTCCGGGCCGCAGCTCTATCCCACGCCCTGTCCCACCCCAGCTGGGAAACGTCTACCCCTGTCCCCTTCCTCCTGCAGGGGGCATTGATCTGCCACCCACACCCCTTCCACCACAACAGACTTACCAGCTGCAGGCAGCTGTATCAGAAATCAGATCATTAATCAGCTGATATGCCTCCTTAAATATCGGCTATTGGTATTGGTCCCCAAAATCTCTATCGGTGCACCCCTAGTAAGAACCCTAGTTTGGCGAGTGGCAAAGGCATCACTAGGTGCAATAGTACTTTAGGATTTCTCTTGCAATTTTGAAGGGTACGTCTGTTTCTCTGGTGAGTAACTTTTTCTCAAACGGTCCTCCCACCCTAATATTTCTACAGCTGCCTACCTTGTCTCCTATTTCAGCCCATCTGAAATA